GGGCCTCGGGGCCTCGGGGATGTGTCTGCTAAGGACTTTTCCAAAGTTTTCAGCCCTTTCAATGGGCAAACTTTGAAAACACACACACACCCCGCCGCCTCCATCACCCCCTGGACCCCCTCCTCCTCCTCCTCCTCCCCTCCAAACGCATGCACGGCTTCGCTGGATTCCTCTGCACTTCATCTCCTAATTTCAGCGCCCCAGGTGCGAAGCTCTGGTTTGCTTTTCGGGTCCCCTCCCAGCTCCCCTCCCCTCAGCTCGGCAGGACTTTAAACAAACGAGTAAAGCAACAACAAAAAAGAGGTTGTTTCCTCCTCCCCCTGCACCCCCCGCCCCTGGATGGATTAATACATGGGAGAGAGCTGCAGACAGCTCCCAACCCCGCACGGAGAGAAACCGAGGGTGACTTTTCTATAACAAAGTTCGGGACTGTATCCAGGGGAAAGATCCTTCCTCTAATAGCAGATTCAGAGAGGAATATTAATGGAGTGACTCCAGTTTTGAACTTTTGCCCCGTGGTCTGTCTTTGCTCCCTTGACTCGGAGCTGGCTCCTTTCTGAACCAAGGAGGGGAGGAATGAACGTGCAGCGGGAGGAGAGGGAGGCCGGGGGAGAGGGAGAAGGAGAGAAAGAGAGGGGCAGAGGGAAAGCAAAAGAAAGGAAAAGACGGCAAGGAGTGAGAGAAAAAGGGAAAGAAGGGAGGGAAGAAGGGAAGAAGGGAGGGAAGAGGGGAAGAAGGGAGGGAAGAGGGGAAGAAGGGAGGGAGAGAGACAAAGAAAAAGATAAAAAGAGCACAAAGGACAGAGAGGGAGGGAAAAAGAAAAGAGAGAAAGAAGAGAAATAAGCGAGAGGAAAGAGAGAGAAGAGAGGAAAGAAGGAAAGATCAAGGAAGGCAAGAAGGAAGAAACGGCGGTGCCGGAGGGCAGCGGGACAGGCCGGGATCTGTCCCCCGCAGCGCAGGCGCCCAGGCTCGACCCGGGGGGACCCGGGGGGGTCCGGGGGCCGCAGCTCTCACCTTTGAGGCTGGAGGTGCCGACGGCGGGCACGGCGGGGCAGGAGGACTGGGCGAAGCACTTGAAGGCCGTCTGCTCGTTGGACGACTCGTCCGAGGTGGGGTTTTCCTTCTTCTGCCTCTCGTCGTACACCCGCATGGACTGGAGGGTCAGCTGCTTCCTACGGGCACACGCACCCGCTGGGCGAGCGGCCCCCGGCCCCCCCGGCCCC